AGGTAGCAAGATCAGCATGGGCTATAGAGAACCATTTTGAGACCCCATCTTAAAAAAAAACTGACAGAGAAACATTTAAATACAGTAGTTAGTACAATTGTTATGTGAAACTCCTTTTTAATACAACTCCCCTTGTCCTTAATTGTTTCCCTTAAAGCCTATTTCATATATTTCTAGGACTACCAGCATTCTTTGCTTTTTACTGAAAATAAATTTTTTCATACAATATATTCTGATTTCAGTTCCCCTCCCCCAGCTCTTTCCCACTTCCCCACCCACCCAAATCTACATCCCCCATTAGAATATAAATAAGCATCTAAAGAAATAATACAATCAAACCAGAATATGACTACCTCATTCTTATAGGTTCACAATAAAAAGCAAAAATAAGATGAGGGATAAATGACATATACTAACTGCAATGATGTGGAGTACGCAATTTTATACATAGTTATGTACCCAATATATGTACATAATCATGCATATACAGTCCTGGCTAGTTTCTCCGTCACCTTTACACAAGCTAGAGTCACCTGAGAGGAGAGAACTTCAATTACAAAAATGCCTCAGTAACACTGGGCTGTAGGCAAGCAAGCCTGCAGGGCATTTTCTTTATTTAGTGATGGACATAGCAGGCCCCAGTAAATCATAGGTGGTGCCAATTCTGGCTAGTGGGCCTGAGTTCTATACGAAAGCAGGCTCATCAAGCCATGGGGGCAAGCCAGTATGCAGAAGCTTTCCATTGCCTGTGCATATGTCTTCCAGGTTCTTGTCTTGATTGAGTTCCTGTCCTGACTTCTTTGATTATGAACAGTGATGTGGAAGTGTAAACAAAATAAACTCTTTTCCTACCCAACTTGCTTTGGCCTAATTTCTACAGAAATAGAAATCCTAACTAAAACAATTAGCGTATTTACAACAATGAACATATACATCACTTTCTTCAAGTTTCCTCGTACTTTAATGTAACATGTCCTTCCTTCCCTAGACCTATGCCTTAGACAAATACTAAACATCTTTCTGTCACTGTAGATGAATTTGCCTTTGTTTTTAAAAATTAACTATGTAGATGAATTTGCCTTTGTTTTTAAAAATTAACTATGTAGCCAAGGATGACTTTGAACTCCTAATCCTCCAGCAACTATCTCCCAAACACTGGGATTATATGCGATCACCATCACATATGGCCAAGAGTACATTTGATATAAATGGAATTACAAAGTATGTATCCATTTTTGTCTGCCTTCTTTTCTACACCATACTTTTCTTGAGATTCATCTGTTAGATATTGAGAATACCAGTAACTCTTTTTTCTATTAAACTGTGTCCTTTGTATAGATATATCACAATTTGTTGTAAAATATCCTTGACATTTGTTTTTAGCTTAGAAAAAAATTTTTTTGAAATGGGGTGTCATTCTGTTGGCTCAAGCTAACCCAGAACTTTATATATAAATTGGGTTGCCCTTAAAGTGCCCTGATTTACCTGCTCAGTGTCCCAAATGCTAGGATTACAGGTTTGTACACCAGGAACCACTTTTAACAATTTACCTGGTTATGAGAAATAGAACAACAAAGCAACACTTATTTACAAATCTTTCTTTTTCAAGCTTGGAAAAACACTTCAGAGTAAATGGCTAGGTCTGTGCTAGTAGTATATAAACTGTGCATAATTACCATACTGTACCTTTTAAAATGTATTAAAGTATTCACATAACAAAGACTTATCTTAATTACTTTTAAATGTTAACTGCTCAATGAGGTTAATATTCATGTTATTGTGAAACCAATACCCTAAACCCCTTTCATATTGTTTTTAAAAATATTCATTTAAAAATTGTCCTTATGGGTATTTTGCCTGCCTGCATGTCATCACGTGTGTGTATCACATGCAAGCAGTGTCTACAGTTCCGTAAGAGAATAATGGGTTCCATGGAACTGAATTACAGACAGCTGTGGGCTGCCAAGTGGGTGCTAGAAACAGAACCAGGGTTCTCTTCAAAAGCAGCCAGTGCTTTCAACTACTGAGCCATCTCTCCCACTCCAAAGTTTTCTATTTTCTGCTCACGAGTATAGGTGAAAAACAAAACAAAAACAAAAAAACAAAAATCAAAACAAAACAAAAAACCAAACCAAACCAAAACAAAACCAAGCTGGAGATGGAATGGGTATCTATAAACTTTTTAAATTTCAGAGATAAAATTTCCACTTGCAAATAATCTTATATCATCTTCCTCCTTTAAGGAGAAGGGAGAGAAAAAAACTGATTTTCTTTTTGTAAATTGAGCTTATTCTGCACAAAAAGTAAATAATCCCAAGTCTGCTTTATCACAATCGACCCTTTCTGGAAGGGCAGGGAATGTGTGTAAAAATGCACTCTTGACAGTATTTAAAACAGTACTTTCTAAGTAAGATCAAAATCCATATGTGGGTCCTTGGCAACTCTGCTAGTTCCTCATTTAATCATTAACATAGGAATTCTAGATTCTAGGGAAAAATGCCTTTATAGTAACATTATTTTAAAAGTCAAAGGGAATTTTGGAACACTGAAAAACACCAATTGCACTTTGAATTTCTGCTGTCTCACAGGGAAAACAAATAAAAACTACTTTGATTTCAGCTTATTTGTGAGTCTCTTAGTCATGTTAAAAGCAACCATATACGGTTGTAGAGATGGCCCAGTAGTTAAGAACACTTTTTTAGAGGACAGAGTTCAGTTCCCAGCATCCACATCAGGTGACTTAAAACTACCTATAGCTCCATGCCCTAGGGATCTAACATCTTTTCTGGACTCTGGGCACCCACACTCATGTCCTCATACCCCCACATAGATATAACAATCCCCCATATATATATACATGTATATATATATGTATATATATATGTAAATGTATATATATGTATATATGTAAATTACATATATATGTATGTAATTTATATACATAAATATATA